CTTCCATGAAGATGTTTGTAGATGCCTTCAGTAAGCAAGTGTTTGATAGTAAAGAGAGCTTGTCAACTGCGGCAGAGTGTGTCAAGGTAAGAGGGTCCAAGGAGGGCGGTGTGACATGATGGCCAAAACGAAGGCTGCAAAGCTTGTAAATACTCTTTTCTTGACCCTAGGTTGGTTGTTGACTCCTCAGTGGTTTCCTGCGTTAAAAGGTTAATACTCAGTTGTGGTTGGTTTGGTTGTTTTCAGTTTAACAGAGGAAAGCATTAAGATGAAAACACACAGCAAGAATAACCCAGCCTTTTATCAGAAACGCAAAATATGTTTATTCTAAATTTGCCTTTATCCAGTCAGAGGCTCTAAAATTCTGAATTATGAGTATTTTGAAGACTTTTTTGTTTGTTTTCCAAGCCTGTCCTGGACCGCATTTCCATAATTTTTTGCAAGACTAACTTTTTCATGTTACGGTTTCTTTCAGCTGCTAATGGTGAAAGAAACAAAACAAAAAAAAGTGTGTCTGTGGCAGTTGTAATGTAATTGTCCAGAGTATTTGTTACAAACTGGGTTTATTTTTTAGTTATTAATTTCTCACTAAAAAGGAATTTTGTTAGCAGGTGAAATAAGCAAAGCATGATTAACACTTCCCTGTTTCCTGAGAATTACAGATTTGGTGAATGTGTAAGATGTAAAGGGGTCCTGCATGCTAATAACATCCTTTGTTTTTGTTCATACCCAAGGTAGCTAAAGAGCACTGCAAGCAGCTTAGTGAGATTGGACTGGATCTCACCTTCATCATTCATGCCCTTCTGGTGAAGGATATCAAAGGTGCTTTACAGAGCTACAAGGATATCATCATCGAGGCCACCAAGCACCGCAACTCCGAGGAGATGTGGAGAAGGATGAACCTAATGACTCCAGAGGCGTTGGGGAAACTCAGGGAGGAGATGAGGAGCTGCGGGGTAGGCAATTTTGACCAATACACGGGTGATGACTGCTGGGTCAACCTGAGCTACACTGTAGTAGCTTTCACTAAGCAGACTATGGCCTTCTTGGAGGAAGCGTTAAAGCTTTATTTTCCAGAGCTGCATATGGTTCTTCTGGAGAGCCTTGTGGAAATCATCCTAGTGGCTGTGCAGCATGTTGATTACAGTTTACGATGTGAACAGGACCCTGAGAAGAAAGCATTCATTAGGCAGAATGCATCCTTCCTGTATGAAACTGTCCTTCCTGTTGTGGAAAAAAGATTTGAGGAAGGAGTTGGAAAGCCAGCCAAGCAGCTACAGGATCTGAGAAATGCTTCAAGATTGATGCGCATAAATCCAGAAAGTACCACCTCTGTGGTGTGAAGTGACCTAACTGTTCTTAGGAACAGAGTGTGAAAGCACTTACTGAAAATGTCGTATATTGAATATATGAACGACATGGGTTTTTTTGAGTAGTCCTTAAAAAATATCTATCTGCTGCATTAAAGAAGCTGAAAACTTACAATCAAATCCTGCAGGGATGTGATGCTTTTCTTGGCGGATGGAGGGCAGGGGAATGAGAAGTAAGGTGCAGGTCACAAGTCCTTGTGCAGCATATCCTCTAAGAATGGCTTGTGTAGTGTTTGTGACTTGAGAAATACTATAACATACAATTTTCAGCCAAATGTTTGTCAAAGTCTTAAACAAATGTACACCATGTGGCAGGAAAAGATCTGTTTTCATCGTGTCACTGTAGGAATTCTTTTTTAACAGTGTCCTGGTAGGAGGGGAAGTGCTGAAACACTCCCAGGGTGTGGTAATTCGGTGAGGCACGTCCACCATCCCCATGTGAGTCAGCACTGCAGATAAATGGCTTAGATTCACACAGTCTGGTTTGTTTGCTAGCAATGCTGACTATTCCGTTTCTCCAGCATTGAAATTCTCTTGATTCATTTGGAGGCAGCCCTAAATTAAAACATGTTTTTATATAGGTTTTTGTGTTTTTGTGAAAGGGCTTCTTCTATTTAGTAAACAGGCCTGTTGGATTAAATTACAACTCTCTGAAAACAAACTTGCTGTCAGAAAGGTTTGTTCCCTTCAGGGAAGAAGTGAGAATCTTTCTTCCCTTCCTCTTTGTGTTCCTCTTTTTTGTTTTCTTATGGACTTCACTGGGGTCAAGTCCACTTGGTGCAGTATGTACTCTTGCTTGAGGGGCTGTAATCAATGCATTACAGGCTATTACCTACTGGTTGAATCCATAGTGGGGAGGCATAAATGCTCTTGAGATGTGCAGGGTAGGCAGGGATTCTGAAGGTGCTATTTCCTTTGGAAGAAACAGCACACTAGTTTTGCTGTACAGAAGCAACACAAGATGAAGAGGCTGGGTGTGAGGCTTCCTGTAAATTATGTGACCTTCAAATACACACTCTT